TTTGTGGTGCCAAAAGATACCCAGTACACCGTATCCTCCTCGCAACAAGATCCACCTTCTTCGAGGGAGCCTGCCGAAATGGCTTCAGGGAAGCAGAAACCGGAGTGGTTGACCTCAGCGAAGATGACGCAGAAGCTGTTGAACACATGGTGCACTGTACGTATTGCATGAGGCGATGGGACCCTAGACTGTGCTAAAGCTTTCTAGACTTCTACCACATGGACTACCTCACCAAGAAGTCACTCTCGCGCCGATCCTCACAACGATCGAACCGACCTACCTCTCTACGATCATCGATTACCAAGAGGAGAAGCCCCCCAAAGAAGCTGAACCTGGTCCAAGTCGAAGACCCGCTCCTTGCACTTATGGCCGCAACCAACAACTCAATGCCGCTGACTCCTCCCGCCGACGAGCCAATGTTTCAAAGCATCGATGCATCCTCCAAGCTGCCCGACACGCCGATGGCTGATCAGTTCTTCGAGGATGATGATCTGGAAAGCGAGCAATCAGAGACTGAGTTCGACATTGAGACGACACATCTCATCACACATGCCAAGGTCTACGCCATCGCTGAGAAGTAAGTACTACCATTCTCCGTCATTGTTTACTTTTCTACGTTTTGCCTGAATGCGCGCCGCGATTTGCGGGGTTGCTTCATCTGCGCCTGCAGCTCTACCTCCCATGACTGGGGTGTGCAGCGCGTGGCACGGCGGTTGAAACGCCGACAAACTCCGCCATATGCGTCACCGGCACTCTACCTCGCCAATCGCACCCCGCGCTGTACACCCCACTGTACCTTTGCATACACAGCCCTTTCGTCTGTTTTTCTTGTGTACGATTTCAAGATGCACCAATTACCTACTATGGTCCTTGGGCCTCCATGGCTGCATCTTCGAAACAGTCCGCGTCAGCGTACTACTACTCCCTCTCCAATCACGCACCCATCTTTCATCACACCTCCTTTGGAACTTGCTTGCTAACGGTTTATGGCAGGTATGGCATTGCAGGCTTGAAAGCGCTTGCGCGTAGCAAATTTGCAGAGGAGGTTGACCTGCACCTCAGCAGTGCCGACTTCCCAGAGGCCTGCCAAGAGGCGTACGAGTCTACCTACCACACTGACCGTGGTCTGCGAGACGTCATCATCCAGACCTTCCGTGCCAACCCCAGCCTGTCGCTGCGACCCGATGTCGAAATGGCCGTGCGAGAAACACCAGGTCTTGCTTTCGAACTCTTCCGTATGGCAAGCGGACTTCCTGTCTCTTCCTGAAGGGAATCCCGTCACAGTCGTTCCCGCATCGAGCCAATCATCGCTGCTCCGCAGTGTGCACCAGTATCTGCATCGCCGCTGCAAGCATACGACTCAACTCCATGTTGAATCTCGTCATCTATCTTTGTAGAATCCTACGCGCGTCCAAAACCGGGATCATCCTGCGGGTGGTACGCAGCCGCCACACAAAACGTCTGTCTTGGCTAAGACAACGTGTTTCACGACAGTGCTGCAGTCAACCGTCGACGTGATGCGGGGTCAGCATGTCTTACCAACCTTATCAAGCCGCGCATCCGCGCAGTTCAACGTCACACCCGGTGTGCTTGAGCCAATGGCCTACTGACTCTGCTCATTGGCAGTTCCTCTTTTCTTTTTCAAGAACCTTTGCAGTACTTTTAGCGATACCAATGAGCGACCTTGTATTATTCTCTTCATAGTTTCATCGTCATGAATGTATCCATTGTAACATCTACTCTACCCCGATATTAAGATCAGTCATATCACTGTGCATCAATACCCAATATCTAGGCGCCAATGCTCCCGAAGGGCACAAAGCTACGTCATCTCGTCTTATGAGTTTTGCCATGTCAATAGCGTTTGCTACACTACTATTTCCATCTACACGGAGTTGCCAACCGCCGCGCACGTGCTTTACATCATAATGATAGAATTGCCAAAGAATAGCCTTTACTACGGCCCGCAACGTGGTCTACATAAGAGCCGAAGATCGCGTATTAGCCACCACCGGCCCTACACGTGGGGTTTTGCTCACTCTTCCTTGCCCTGGATGTATACAAGCCATACCAAGAGATCTACAAAACGTTTTCGGTCCGTTCCTCCCCCGATCTTGCCTGCACACACCTGCAGAGGGTGGGGACGATCTAAACTGCTTACTGATCTGTGCCATGTGGCTTTGAAATCAGAGGCGCGATAGAGTTTTATAGTGTTCGTGCGATATGTTTGTCTGGATCATGGTGGTGAGAAGACGGGGTCGGTGCATGAAGTTGGTCGGTTTTGCGAGGACTTTGATGTTGGGCATGGGTATCTTGTTTGCGTGTTAGACTTTGGTTCTTTTCTCGAATGTTCTGCGGGTACATCACGAATGCTTGTTTGCTGGAAGGTCTTGCGGTGTATGGGATTTCGAAATATCGACTATGACACGCAGATATCGCATTTTACTAGGATAAGGGACCGTAGAATAGTTAATGGCATGGGTGAGTTCATTGTGTCTTGTTTCTGCTGACTTATGTACACGCTTGCCGATGATAGTGGTAAAGGGAAGGATGGGTTACTACAACTATCATCGTCGTTAGGCAACCGTCGCTAGGAGTGACGCTGGTCATACTGGAAATCGAAGTGACACTGGACAGGTGGAGCGACCGATTCCATGACATGAGAGCATTTCAGTGATGACGAGCGCAGTAAGGAGGCGCGCTGCTTTCAAGGAACAGGAGAGGTTGAAAGCGATGGTATCTGTGCCTAGATAACACAGGGATATGGAGAGAGCTGGAAATGACAGTCGGCGTGAGCACCGTAGGCATTGCATCGATCGGGTATCATCATATCCCATCATCGTTGCCCTTCTCTACCATTCAACGTAATGTCGTAGAGTGACGATGTATTCGGTCGGTAAGCCTCGACTGTGAGACCACGTGTGTATCGAGAGTGGCATGCGACGATGGCCGTGTTGGCAGCGAGGTGTGGTTTGCGGTATCGGAGTCGACGCGCCGTTTGCGTGCAATCTTACTCATCGTTCATACCTCATCGCGCCCTTTCACTTCGCGAACTTTTGTATCCGATGCTGCAAACTCTTCACAGGCACGATACCATCTCCATCTCTTGTGAGAACCTTGCCTGCGTGACCAACCTCAGCCAAGACCGATAACCTCAACCCACCGTCAATAGAAATGAATGCTCCAAAGGGGACTCCGATGCTAACAGATTTGTGTGTAGATGAACCGGCCGTCGCTGACTCGTTTCCGTTAAAGAGGCTCCCCGACGAGCTCCTCCTCCAGGTCGTCGCCCAAGTCCCCGAAGTCGATCTTCATAACCTCAGCTTGGCTGCCAGACATATCGGCTCCACGGCGCAGGAGGCACTCCATCGATACCCCACGATCTCTTACACTGACAATGCAATGCCGCGACAAATTGCCCGACTGGCTCGCACCCTCTTCAGTCGTCCTGACCTAGCACGCGCAGTAGCCCAACTCACGCTGCGGCCCATCATCCATCTTGTCGAGATCCCATTCACCACATTGTCCGCGGCTGGCAATCCAGTACTCCAGGGCTTCTTCCAGCACACACGCGTGTATATGGGCGAGACACAGATTGCGGCACTCCTCCTTGCTTCTCTCCCAAACTTGAAAGAGCTCGATCTGCAAATCATCTCCAACGGTAGCCTGCATGAGCTCGACAGCGGTCGTTATGGCCATGCATGTAGCGTACAGTGCAGGCTTCCAGTCAAGGCTGGGTCACACCCCCTCGATATCGCCATGAACCCAGGATTGAAGGCGCTCCGGAAGCTGCATCTGCATGCTCGTCATATCAGCTGGAATTGGCTGGCGTTGTCTTGCCTGAGGGCTGTCACCCTTGGCCTTCACTGTAGCGTCGATTGGGATACTGCATCAGCAGGTGTCTCCAGGGTCGAAGAACTGGTGCTGAATCTGACCACCGAGGTCTTTCTTAACGACGACCGGAGATACAAAGATCTACCCAAACTCTTTCAGCGAATGCCCTGCCTGCGATCGCTCACCATCAACATAAGCAACAAGTGCTTAGCTCCAGGGCCAAATCAGATCGAGGCTGATATTCTTGGGAATGATGCGCGGGGAAGCATGGAAATCCTCATCGAAACTATGGCTGCAGTATCGCAGACACTAGAAGTGCTGTGCATCAAGAAAGCCGGCACAGATCCGCATTGCTTCAAGTACCTGGAGCCGGTAACAAGCCTGGCCCACTTCAACCAAATGAAGCACCTTCAAATACCCATTCAAGGAGTTTTGGAGCGTGGCCTGGTTTCGAGGAAGAGAATTGGGGAGATACTGCCAGACAGGCTTGAACAGTTGCGCCTCTCAGGCCTATCTGTAAAAGCCATGAAGGGGTTGGAAGATTTGTCCTCAGAATATGCTAGTCTGGCGTTCCCGGTCTTGTCGGGATGATAGAAAAGGGATCGGCCGGCAATAGATACATAGAAGACATGAAGACTAATAGATCAGTATACCAAATGGCCAGGAGGTTGTCAGTGTCGAGATGTTGACCATGCGCATCCGTGATAATGGGCTGGGGTCATCCAGGCTCCGGTTTTGTTGACGGCGTCATCGTGCGGAAAGGTCGCGAATGCCTCTTGGGTAGGCTGAGAGTTTCTGTCGGGAACGCAGAAAAGATTCGCTATCTAACCGGCGGGGGAGAGTATGATATAAGACGGTGTTGGTCTTGGGGACCCGACGACGCCCTAGCGCTAGCGTGGTTCGCGCTGACACCTGCATGCATTAATTCTCCGGACCCGAATAGGTTCACGCTGCGTCATTGGGCCTGCGATGTTTTACTCCCTGCGCAACACTGCTGCATGTGGTTAAAGTCTGGAGAGCACTTCTATCGCTTATCTGTTTAAGAAGGGGCTGCTGGCGAGCCACATTCGTGCCCATGCGTCGCGTCGGCGTAATCTCACGATGGGCGCGTCCAACGCGTCGCTCCTCCCTCAAGAACCTCGAATCCAGGCTCGCCAATGTGTAAAATGCCCTTCAGCTGTCCGCCACATATTCTCAGGTAAATTTTCCGCGCTGCACTAACGCGCCTGTGGCAGTACTCGTGTCTGGCTCTGACATGGTCTAGGGCATACAAGAATGGCGACTTCACCGACTTGGTTATCAGCTGCGGCAATTCGACATTCGATGTGCACTCGGTCGTCGTTGGCTCAGCATGCGAGTTCTTCGCGAACAACATCAAATTCGGTGGAAAGGTGAGCCAGTAGCCTTTTTGAGCCAATCTCCTGTGCTGACAGCAAAGCAGGAAGCTGATGAACGACGCATCGATCTGCCAGACGACGACCCAGAGATGATCCGACGCTTAATCGCTTACCTGTACTTGGGTGACTACGATCCCACTGACGACATGGGCATCGCCGCGTTCGAACAACTCAAGCAATATGACCTCAACACAGCAGCGGCGCCCGCTCACCACCCCCGCCGATACGCATTTGGAAGCTCTCAGCGTCATGATCAATGCGCTTGCCTCGCGTTGAACCTCAAGAATATTGAGCAGTCGGAAATGAAAATAGAGCAGCAGAAGAAAGCGTCCCAATACGTCAGCCACCGAAAGCCCGACAACAGCATCGAAATCACCAGTCCGCTTACAATACACGCGAGCATGTATGCGCTCGCTGATAAATATCAGGTGAAGGGGCTTAGCCGACTTGCAAAGACCAAGTTTCGCGAGAGCCTGGATCACCACGTTGATTCGGAAGACTTCATCGCTGCCGTGCAACTCACGTATAGCAATACCCCAGAGACCAACCGCGGTCTTCGAGACGAGATAGTGCAGGCTTTCCGGACATATTTCAAGGTGGACATCACTGAGTTACCTGGCCTGGAGTCGAAGCTAGACACCATTGATGAGTTAGCTTTTCTGCTTCTCAAATCCTGGCCCAGGAAGATGGAATCTCCAAGCCCTCAGAAGTTTGTCTCGTCTGCAGGTGCCGCTCACACGGCTTCTCATCTGGTTATTACCGCTGGTCCGCCCACCTCCGGTACCAACGCGACTTCTGCTTCTTCCAACGCTCCTGTGACGACCACTGGGTTTGCCTCTTATGCTCGTACATCGGCGGCCACTACCTCTAGTACTCCAGCCACCGGAAGCTTGTTCGGAAGCCTCCCCCCACGTGCTTCGGGTGGATTCGCAGGCTTCTCGTTAATACCCAGTGGTACTGGTAACGCTGGATCAAGTCAACCAACTCGTCCTTTCGGATCTCCAGCGTAACGGGTTTTCCTGCTGTGATACCCAGTTGAGTCTTCTCGCCATGCCTTACAATATTGCATACAGTCTGTCTCTTTACTTTATGGACTACACTTAGTGATGTTCCTTCGCGACTTCCTCTTCCTTGTTCGTTCACGCGCGATACCCCAACCTCCTACTGCTCGCGGAAATCGCTCCTGTCGATACCTTATAAAACCCTTTGTAGATCACCGAGCGCACTTTCTCGCCGGATGCAGTGGCTGTGCGAAGCTAGCAGGTCTATTGCATCCTTGTCGTCTTTCTCTTGTAATTCTTCCCGTCATCCACCCGCGCGCAACCCCGAAAAATTGCCATTGGCACCGCTGCATCCCTCGATTTTGGTCTCTTTTTGGAATCACGCATAATATATACGCATCTTTTGCATCGAATTCACCATGTCGAACGTGACCAGGTTGTCGACCTCGAACACAGACGCCGATGTCGCCTTGCCGCATGCCTCGTTGTTCGCATACTTCCGTGAGTCTGCAGCTGTTCAAAAAGCGACAGAGACCGGTATTCTATCCAATGACAACAGCCATGGTACCAACGCGCATCAACTGCTCGATCCGCCCACCGATCACGACGACGACGAAGAGTCGAGACTAGGCTTTTGGGGCGAAGTGGATGGAGCTAAGAGCCCGTCTGGATCATACTCATTCAGCGAAAGCAGATCAGCTTGGCGAGGAGCAGCCGCTTTCTGCTATCTCTGGTGTGCGTTCTCGGTCATTATCCTCGGCGCCTTTGGCCTCTATTTCACGGTCGACCTTGCCTTCAGCCACTATGGACTGGGTACTGGGATGGCGGAGTGGGTCATGTACAGACAACAGCTCCCACCGAGCAACACCCGTGGGGTGAGTCGCTCGCAAGACGGCAGTGGTGTCGATGAGCAGCATACTGATGTTTAGCGTGCCTTAGATAAGGTTCTGCCTTGAGACTCCGAACCGCGAGGCACCCGACCCGCAGGCCTGGCACTACCTGAAAGCAGACACCGGCGATCGTTGCACGACCGATACCATCGACTTCATTCTCAACCCAAAGGAAGCATGGAAGGTTCAGCCAAATGCGATTCTGCTCCTGAGGGACGATGCGTCAGACCTGGATGAGCATGGACAGATTCGGGCACCCGTTATCTCCCAAGAAGAACCACAAACTCCTAAGCTGGGCGACGATGTTGCAGGAGAGGGTCACTTGGGCCAAACGGTTTGAGGTCACGTATGGAAGCTATCACAAGCACTTGGTGAATTACACTGGCATTCATTTTCTAGCATACTTCATTCGCCGCATTGTTTTTTTTGGCATCTTGTAATAAATCTTTTGCATTTCCTCCGCCTAGCAGTGCCCACTGATGCTAGTAACATCGCCGCTGCGAGAACGCACGCCAATAGTGAAGTCCTCAAGCGGTCGAGTCATTATCTACTTGTTTGGAGGCCCTAGGAGTCGCGATACGTATCTTTTGATACCAGTCCTTTGCGTATGAGGCGTATGAGACGCGGAAAGTGTGGCTAGCTTGCCGTCTCTGAGTTGCCTCTGAGTCATCGGTGAATGACACAAGTGTTGGAAAGGCTTCTTCATCGTCGAAAGATGGTATTACCCGCTCATCAGCGCGTGCCCATATTCGATAGGCTCGTGGGTCTTCCTCGTCGGGTACTGTGTCACATATGGCGCGCTCGGCAGGAGGACTTTGCAGGATCACTTCGTAGTGCATCTCGCGACCCGCGATCCAATCGCTGTATTTTTCGTACATCGTGACGCACTGGTCATTTTGGGCGTCTTCGAAGATCAGATACACAGCTTTCAGGTCCTGGAAGAAGTGGTGAGCTTTGTTGAGCGCGTCGAGCCAAGCAAACGCCTTGACGCTTGGGTGAAGAAGCTCAATCACCTGGATGCTAGCAGGAAGAAGCTTGCAAGGATTCGGAAAACCATCGCCAAGAAGAAGAACTTGTGGTATAGTAAGGGTTTCCAGCTGCTTGAAGAGAGCAAAGGTGGGGACCGGTCCCATCCACTTCAAGAAGTCTTGGTCGAAGCTATCGTACGCACTCACTGAGAGGGTTTTGAGGCTAGGCGCAACCCGAGAAAGGCAATAAACCATCCTATTACTCTTTGCACGCTTGGAGTCTTTAAGGATAGGTTTGACAATAGAGAAGCCGCCAGACGAGTGGAAGTTGGTGAGCTGGATGGAGAGATGTTCCAACCGTGGGAACGATGTGGCCGAAAGAAAACCGCCATTTAGCGCCCCGTTGTGATCAACTTCCTTTGCTACACAGCTAGCGAGCTCAAGTTGAAGAGTATCAACAGCAGGAGCGACGAATGAAGACGGGACCCTGCATTCTCGAGCGACCTCTAAGCACTGCAGCTTCGGCAGAGTACACCATTGCTTGTCAAGACGGCTGCCGAAGAACCGCAAAGTTTCGAGTTTCTTGAGGCCACAGATCTGGGATAAATCCAAAGCTGGTCTGTTGACAAGGTTCCTAAGTCTTGCGTTGAGGATGCCTTTCATCCGAGAGGACATGATCGGATCGGTGCTTTTGGGTTTTAGAAATTCCAAGAGATAGTACCCAGGCTTTCCAAAGAGTTTGTCGAGAGGATCCTCTGCGTAACGCTGATGGGACCATACAATGCGTTCGTTATACTCTACATCGTCGTCCGCTACACGAAAGTCAGGCATAGTGGCAAGGATCTCTATCTCCAGCTCGACCAGATTTGGAAGTAAAGCGAGAATAAGACCACCACAAGCTTTGCCGTCGCCAGAAAGTAAGCGCGCTTTCCAGTCTGGCACACGGATGGCCCAACCAGTGCCTTTGGTACCCATATCGTCGATCACTCGTAGTGCTTTAGTGATGTCGTCAGATGACCATTTGGGAGGTGACGTTGGCTGCCCTCTTATAAGACTCATCGAGAGCTTGCGAACGCTAGATGCTAGTTCAGGCCGGTGAAGAAGCGCGAGCGCAAAGGAGAAGACTTGTTCGACCGCACAGTGGTAGCTTCCGGAGTAACGCTCGTTAAGGGCAAGGTTGGTGTAGAGCTTTTCATTCGCGATACGTCGCAGCTGGTGCGACGCGAGGCTCATATGAGCGAGGTCGCTTGGTTTTGTTGTATACCCCGTGATCTCATCGAGCAGCTCCTCTGGTAAAGAAGACAATGCTGCCATGTTCGTCGAAGGAGACTTATCCGCGTCAGAAGGTGAAGTGAGCTTTGCTTCGGTTTCGTGGTGCTGCATCTTGGTGGGGTTGAAATTTGGATCAAGTTGAGGGAGCGTAATGGATGAGAGGTATTGGGGAATGGGCAATGAGCCCGCAAATTTATATGACTGAGCAATGGCCACGCAGACGCGCAACCTTGTGGCCCGAGTCAATTCACCCATCTGCGAACGCCCAGGCTTCTATCGCTTTCATTGTTGTCGCCACTATCTCGATACCCTCTTTGCCTCATAGCGTAGGCTACCACTAGCCTGCGCGTTGTGGAGCAGCTTCCTTCACATGTTCTTCCAAGCGGATGCGCTGCGGCGTCTTTTCCTCACCACCGGGGTACGCATAATTGGCAACTGGGGCCTATGAAGATGTGAGTAAAGTACTGACCAAACATAGTAGACTGCATTTACCTGGGCATAGATTTTGGCTGCGATCTCGACTTGCCAAGTGACGTCTTCTTCCTCGCGATGGTACCAGCACTCTTCATTCAGTGAGTCAATTTCCTGAGATATGACCTTCGTCTCTGACCCGTTATTCTTCAGATGTCTGTAGGTCGGCAATATGACCTCTAGAAAATTAAGCGTGATACGCTCCTCGTCAAGATCTTTCGCGTCCCATCGACTGAATGGTGTGACCATGACTAAGGTGACTTTTGGGCTTTTGGCAAACGAAGTATTCTGAATGAAAGCAATGTCGCGGCGGAATTTGTTGTAAACACCGTGTTCCCTCCAAACAAAATCCGGGGGTGGTACCTGGGGCTCTTCATCATATGTACGCACGCTCCAACCAGCTTCTTCGAGGAAGTCCTCGAATCGTACGTACACCACGATGTTCCGGACATGATCTCTGGGAATAGATCCGCACGGGAAAGGCGTGTTGATAAATTCGCTCATATGTCGTGCATCGCGGAGGTGGAATACATTCGTCTTGAAGAAAGTCTCGGTGATTTCCAGAGCCATCTGAGAACCACATAACTTGGGGTCAAATATGAAAACCGCTCTCAGAGCTGCTAGCCGTTCTTTCACAATCTCTTCTTTCTCGACCAGACAGAGTTGGGGAGGCCAATAGTCCTCTTCAAAGAACACCAAACTCACTACATCTCCTGTATCGTGCACATGGAAGAACTCGTGGTCAAGATTTGGTATGTGAATACCATCGTCCTCGTGGCATAGGTACTCGTAGATCATGAGACGCAATTCTGCAGCACCTCCCAGAGCATTCTCGAGGGTCGTAGCAATTTGCCTGATATCATCGGTTCCATTTCTCAAAATCCGAGAGTTTGGATCGCTGTGTATAGTCAGTAACTCGTTGTTCCTCGATCTGTAAAGCTTACCTGTTGAGTCGCTTCCTCTTAGCCCCTAGGTCGCTCAGTACATCATCTTCGCAGTCGTCGATCAGCCCTCTCTTGAGTGGGCTCGTCATCGCACCTGCGCGATGATCGTTCCTTGGAAGTGATAACAGAAGATGTATTCACGAGGACACAAGTGTCTACAACTGGAGTCGATAAATTGTAAAGGATGAAGGGCAAGATAAGTCGCGAGGTCTTGTCTTAGTTTCAGGGCAGCCCGGGTCAAGACCAGGCCACAGTCTAAGACAAAGGCGCACCGTAATTCTTCGTTGGGTTTCAGTGCACAAAGAAACTTGTGATGGCCCCCAAGGCTACTTGCGCCGGAAGCAACGTTGTGCATTGGGCAATAGCGAGAGGCGACAGTCTGAGAGCATCTGGGTAGCTGCCCAACCATCGTCGCGTGTACCGTAGCATCCTAGCGACTATTACAGCTACAACAGAGTAGTGCAGCTGAGGTACCTAGGTAGACTTCGGTTGTTGAAATGACGTCGTATGCATAAATCTTTTGTGCCGAACATAAAGTTAGACTACCTAGGTAGGTAGGCTTCCCCCAGGTTAACAAGCCTGGAATTTACTTGTCATTCCTTTGACGATCATGAAGATCACGGTAACCACCGACATGATTGCGCAAAGAGCTACTGTACTGGCCTAAGCAATTTCCTGAATGCATATCGCCCAAATCATCATAGACGTGGAGATGCGTTAAGGGAACGGTCTAGAGAGCGGTGCCGACCGTTCCAGCCTTTCTATTGAGATGCCGACGTTCTTCGTCCATGTCTCCAGGCGCTGTGTTCCTCCATATTGCGACTCTTCTCTGCAGTTCATCTTCTCCCTCTCTTAAACGCTGGTCATGAAGCTCATGAGAGCGAGCTAGTAACGTAGCATAGTGGGGTGGTGCTGGTTCCTTGGGATAAGCGTAGCGGGGATACTCCCGCGCATTCCATCTCTGCTCAACGTCAGTATAGTAGCAAGAAGATCAGCTAACAATCCGGCGTACTTCTTTATACTTTTGTTCTTCTAGCTCATACAGCCATGTGATTTCGAAGTCCAGCGCGGAGGCCGTCGATGCATACTCTTCCTCGGCGTCGTCGGCTTCTATCGTGCTGACTGTCACTGTCGCACCAGTACTCTTGAGGTCATGATAGGGCTCGAGTGTCGCTTCGATGAAGTTGAATAAGACCCTCTCTTCCTCGACACCTTCGGCACCGAAGCGGCCAAACGGAGTCACTATTACCATAGTGATGTGTGGTCGCGAAGGGAAAGGGATCCGCGAAAAGGCTTTGGCCACGCGAGAGACCTCATCATAGACGTTGTTCTGACGCTCTTCCCATTCAAAATCTTCGTCAGTTTCTTCCGGTCCGCCATCTCCATAATCCCCTTCGCCCCAGCCCGCCCATCCCAGGAACTCTTCACAACGGATGTAGACGCGAAGGTGCTTGATCTTGTCGCAAGCCCGAATACCACAAGGAAACCTTCCTTTGAGAAACATTCCGATATTGGCTGCCGCATCGCGGAAGTGGAATTCGTTTTCTTCGAGGTACTGCGTGGTATTTTGGCGTGCTTGCTCCTCCCCAACTTTGCGCGGATCGAATCGAGATTCGTTCCATATTCGTTGCGCATCTTCCTCAATCTTCTCATCTACATCTTCTTTCACAATATCTTCACCGTCGAATTTAGCTAGGGCGGCCGACCCCTGCACATATTCATGGAAGTTTGCATGCTCGAGGTTTGGGATGAGTACCGGACGAAGAAAAAGTGACCACCTTCTCGAAGAAGTCGATGCTTCTGCCATGATATCGGTGAATGTACCTTGAAGCGAGAGAAGGGTGTTAAGGAGTGCTTGCTGGGTCAATACCTGTTGACGTAGTTTCGGGTCTGAGCTTTTGCCCTACGTAATTGACGTAAGTGGGGTTATGTGGGGTGGCTTGCTTCCTCACCCATTCCATCATCCCAACAACGCGTCGAGCTCACACCAATACTAACATCGTCTAGTTCACAGCGTGACGATTGATCATTTACGCGCGGCGTGGACTGAAAGACATGCTTGTGAGTCTACGAAACTGAACTGCATAGGATGCCATACTCACCAGAAGCAGGCCTATCGGGGATGATTGGAGTTAAACAGCATGGCGGATTCAACAAACTCATCGCATAAATTACAAGCATATACCAATTGATATCATAAGTAAATTGGATTATCATTAATGTCTATCGTGATCTTCCATAAATCATGTAGGAGCTCGATGACAAAGTCAAGTAAGTCCGTTATTCGTAGCCATATGTGCGGCTATCATGTCGTTAACGCTTAAGCAGGAGGAGAGGTGGGCTCAGGAACGCCGGGAGGGCAATGCCAGTGGTCATCGTGAGGCTCGCAGGCCTCAGCGGGGGCAGCAGCGGCAGAGGAGGTAGCCGCAGCAGAGGCAGAGGTAGGAGTAGCAGATGCGGAGGCGGTGGCGGAAGCAGTGCTGGTGGCAACAGGGGAAGACTCTTCCTCAAGAGGGGTGTAAGTGCCAGGGCAGCCAACACCGGGAACAACGATGTCATGGGCGTAAGCCTCAAGAGCAAAGTACTGGAGAGTGTCGCTGTTTCTCGCGGCGTAGGTAGCGTTGTTCTTGGCAAGAGCGAGGGTTCCGGGGTACTTCTCCTCTTCCTCGTCGTTGTAGTGCTCGACGACACCCTCGCCAACTTGGGGAAGGTGGAGAACACGGTGAAGAAGGTCGGAAGCCCAGAAAGTGTTGGTGGCGCCGTTGGCGACATCGTATCCGAGCATGCACATGGTGGAAAGAGGCCTGCGGATCTCGTAGGACAAGTCGCAGATGACAGTCTCGGAAGTCGCGTTGGAGCCGCGCCAGTGACCGGCCCAACCCTCCTGGTCGCAGTTGCCATCAACGTTGTCGCAGCGGAAGAGGATACCAGACTTGTCGCCGTCGGCAATCTTGGTGAACCAACCAAGAGGCTCACCAGTGGGAGCTTCGCCAAAGTACTTGGTGTAGACCTCGGAGTTGTTGCCGAAGCGGAGGATGTGGTCGCGGGCATGGCTGACGATGGTCATTGTCTCGTCGAGACCCTTCTGAATCATGCTACGCTGGGTAGCGTTGCAAGAAGCGTGGATGGGGAACTGGTGGACAGCACCGGCATCCCAAGCTGTAGCAGCAGGAGCAGCCTCGGCAGTGTGGGTGACGGTGACGGTAGCCTGGCGAAGGGCAAGAGGTCCGGCCATGGCGGCGGAAGCTCCAAGGAGCATGAGAGCAGAGGCACGAGCAGCCATTGTTAGATTGATCTTAGAGACTTTGAAGAGGTCTTGGAAGTTGATGTGCGAACCGGAGTTCAGTGAGTGTCCCGAGAAGCTGGTTGCCGGATGCTTGATGGAGAAGCTTGCAGACGAGCTGCAGGCCTCTTTATACTCTACCAGAATGACATCTCACCACTGAGGACTGTTCCTCTCGGTGCTCATGTACCGACGTCTCCGCAACCTTGACCGCCGAGACGTGAAGAAAAAAACGCCTCATGGCTGCAGCCGCAGGTACATCAACCGGTATACTGCCGGTCTACCACCTTTCCGGAGATGCAAATGCTACACTACACGGATCTGGAGGCTGATCTATACCTTGGCCTGACGTACAATTCGAATGGTTGAGCTTGGCATGGAGGTGCATGGGGGCCTGGACGACATGTTTTCCACTCAGAAGGTGGATTTATGGGTATGTAAGTACCATGATGGGCGCCCAATGGCGAGAAATTCTCCCACCCAGGAACATGTTGTCGGGAGGATTACCTGCGTTCGGGAAGGCCGAAGGCATCAATGTGGGTGGTCACTGTGTTCCGAAGCGGCCTCCCACGCGATATGTCATGTCGAGAGTGAAGCAAGGTTGAAGGAGGACGATTGTAGAGTCACTGGTCTCCAACGGGGCTGATGGTTATGCAACCTGTTGCCGTGTACAATTCTTCGGCAGCCCTAATATGTTTTTCCTGGAAACATGAGGACGACCGGCATATTCTGAGCTCTGGAGGTTGAACGACGAAGAGTGATACTAACCTCAACGCTTGTAGATTCATCGGAATGTTGGAGTTGTCAGACGTGGTGTTAGTGCTATGCGCCGAAGAGCTTCCTAGCTGTGGAGGTCACGGCTACTACGGCGCATCCCCAACATACCTCGCCAAGACCTCCGCCACCTAAATAATAGCGCTATCCCACCCACCTACTGTATCCGTAGCGAAGCCGCCTACCTAAAAGCAAAGACTCGGTTTGTGTGGCCTTTGATTCGACGTTTGCTCCGAGACAAGACTTATGCCAAGGTAAACCATCCAACAGGGTACTCAATGCCAAGACCGCCCGTGGCGCTCAGTGTGAAGCGACAGCAAGCCCTAGAGACAAATGGATACCGAAGATTCTTCGCGGCATCCTTGTGGGGGGATGCCTTGCCCCATCACGGTACATGCGTTCCACTCCGCTGACACGACGAAAAGCTTGAACGAAGTCGATATATCAAGGGCCTGATCTGGTATCACCTTGAACAGCTTTACAGCCGTCGGTTCGCTCGTTAAACCTATCCGATAGACCCTGAACATTCCTTCAGCCATGCGCTCTACCATCTCTGCTGCAGTCCTACTGCTTGCGGGCTCTGCCGCTGCGCAAACACCCACCGTCACTGTCACCCAAGCTGGCGCGACTACCACCGTCTTCACTACCGGAACTCCGACTATCACGGCCGTGTCATCATGCCATCCTCATAACACTGTTCTGTATGTTCTCCCGTTGTCAACTTTGCCCGGTAGAGTTTGGCGCTAACTTGCAACAGCTATTGCATGTTCGGTTCAGATGAGTACCAGGTGGTTGGGCCAACTGCGACAGAAGAGTTCCAAGCAGAGTACACGCAATGCCACAAGCACCAAACCGACACGTAGGCACCGCCCATCACGATGTTTGACGAAACGCTGACTTGAGAAGATACTGTGTCGACGATGCCGGCGAAGATGTTCTGCTCATGACCGAGGCTGAAGAATCGACAGAAGGCTCCTCTCACACGGGCGAAGAGTCAGCTGCTGAAAGTGAGCCAGCAGGAAGCAAGGGGCATTGCCACGACCACGCCGGTGTTGAGCACTGCGTTGGTGGAAGCGAATCCGAAGTCAACTGCGATGCTCCCCAGCGCGACTACAACATCCCCCTACGAGTCGGTCTGCTCTTCGTCATTCTCTTTACTAGTGGACTTGGTGTGTTTACCCCCGTATTAACCCGGAAGTTCAACCTCGTTGGCGCCAACAACATCGTCTTCGTTGTCCTCAAGCAGTTTGGAACCGGTATCGTCATCTCCACCGCCTTCGTCCATCTCTTCACCCACGCCCAACTCATGTTCGCAAACCAATGTCTGGGTGTTCTGGAGTACGAAGCCACCACCGCTGCCATCTTCATGGCTGGGTTGATGTTGTCCTTCCTGGTCGACTACCTCGGTGCGCGCTTTGTCCAGTGGCGCCAGGGAAAACACACCGCTCCCAGCACCGAGGTGGCAGCTAGTGGAGACAAATCCGGAAACAGCTCTCCTTCAGCAGAGCCCACTCATGACTTCAACCGCAGTCATGGAATTGTTCATGCCCATGGTCCGATGCGCGAGGCTACTCCCATGGAAGAGAAGATCAATGTAATGAACCTGGAGGCGGGTATCATCTTCCACTCCATCCTCATCGGTATCACCCTTGTCGTCGCAAGCGATGGATTCTTCATCACCCTCTTCATTGTTATCCTCTTCCATCAAATGTTCGAAGGTATCGCCCTTGGAACCTGCATCGCCGAGCTTCCCAAAGCTGCTGCTGGTACCGCACAAAAGCTTCTCATGTGTGGCATTTTCGCGCTCATCACACCCATCGGCATGGCCATCGGTATCGGAACGCTAGACCACTTCAACGGCAACGACCCTAGCACCATCATCGCCATTGGAACCCTCGATGCACTGTCCGCTGGTATCTTGACGTGGGTTGGACTTGTGGAGATGTTGGCAAGGGACTGGATGCACGGAAAACTGCTCAATGCAGGTGCTGCCAGGACTATCAGTGCTCTGTTCGCACTCGTTTGCGGTCTTGCGCTCATGAGTGTTCTGGGCAAGTGGGCTTAATCAAGCCGTTCTTGAGGAATGTAAGACTGTACGATGCTGAAGTAATGACTTTACGGTTCCACGTTGGAATGAGTGTTTAGGCTCTTATTTAGACCGCATCATAGTTTGGACTGTCACTTAGCTTATACCCTTAATGCCAAACCTATAGAAGAACGCACCTATTCTACGATAGTGCTCTTCATACTCTGCTTTCCAAAACTATCCCATACTTCCGCTCTCCATCCTTCGGGGCCGGACTCGTGCTCCATCAATATTCGATATGGCTCATCGACGTATAGCGGACTCATAGCGCGATACGCTATGGACTTAGGCACTGCCTCTGTATCTCCATTCTTGCTCGTATCTCGCCAAAAGTCCAGCATATTGATGAGATTGAGCGGTCCATGTACAACAGCATTCCTATGACCCTCTACTTCTCTGCACCACTCAGGTAGGTAGTGTATCTTGTGCGCATTGAACGTCAGCGCCGAGAAGCGAAACAACGAAGTAGGCGTTTGGCAAAAACCTCTTTGGTACTTTCCAGTAGGTAGCTCTTTCTCTTCTGGCTTTGGTGGTGCTCTCATTGGATTCTCAGGTGTAAGTTCACGCTGAAATACCCAATTGCGGCGGTCCGTTAAGGCGATACCGTAGTCATTTGAGAAGGTCTTCTCGACACCCACGAGTAGCATTTCTCCTCCATTCTTCA